GTCCAGAAGTAACTAAGATTTTTGAATTGATTGGCCCGGCCGATCCTGAGATCGTCTAGGCCGATATAATCGTATTAATCATCCTTAATTACTTCATTGATTTGTCTGATTAATTAAGGCACAATTGTAAATATCGTCTAGGCCGATCCAAGATCGTCCTAGTCGATTACCAAAAATACAGAATACCTTAATTGTTTATGGAAGCAAATTCTTTCTGTTTTGAGCTTATCGGCCTGGCCGATACTATCGTCCAGGCCGATTGGCTAATGACGTCTGCCTTAATTAAGAACCCCTGATTAGATTTTCTATTTTAAGCCCGATCGTCTAGGACGATGTAAAATATCGTCCTGGCCCATTTGAGTAAAAACTGAAATTCTAAGTTCCTCAAGTGTGTGTGTGTGTGTAGGGTTACTTAGCATTAGTCTCTTTGACTTTGCATTAGTCACACCAAAGATTACAATTGACTCAAGAGGGGAAAAATAAAATTACAGACTGACTCAACCCTAATCTACCCCATCTTGAGCTGGCTCCGTTTTTCCGTCCGATCTTTGATTCCTGAAAAGTCAGTAGTAAAAGACAGTCCAAGTCAAGTAAAAGTGTTTTCCAATCATCAAAATATAGTTCATGGACCTGAATTTACAACAGGAGCTAGAAGTGAATATTCCAACCTGAGATAGGTTTGAAAATCTAAAATGGGTTAGAAGGAATAATTCTATTGTTGACCTACGATAGTCATTTTGGTTGTAGGAGCATCAACCCTCAATGACTCAAAGGAAATCATCAAATGAGTATTTTCTTCAATTTTTATTAAATTATTTAAATAATAAATTAATCATAGTGGAACTTGTAGATTATGTAATAATAACATTGTTAAAGCATAGAATAGATATTAAATTAATTATATGTTAAAATTTTGAAATTGAGCTTACAATTTGCATATTAAAGAGTTAAAAACTTCAAATAATAATTCAATCAAGAGTAAAATAAATGCTAACATTAAGCCCTAACCGTAATATGAGAAGTTGACTGAGGGTAAAATAAAAAATCGAATTGATTAATTAACTTTTAATTAAAAATAATAATTTGAGTTTGAGTTTCCATTACATTGGATCTCAGTTATAAATATATTTTAAGATGACTACAATATACATCAAATAAATTAAAATTTATATTATATTGATTAGAAAATAATTGTAAGAATTTTAATATCATATATTGACCTAATCGCTTTTTAATTTTAAAATTAGAGCTACAAATAAATCGAGCTGAGCCTAACCGTTGTTTTTTTTTTTTATATTTGAGCTCGTTTATTTTTGGCTTGTTTGAGTTCAATTCAAGCATGATTTGAGTTTTCTATTTGTGTTCAAATTTGGTTTGTTTAAAATAATAGATATTTTATTTTGTGTTCGGCTCATGTTTGATTCTTAGTGTGCGTATCCAGATTTAAATAAATGGCTTATATAAAATAATGATCAAGCCTATTAACGAACATATATAGTGATTTCTTGAGCCCATAAATGAGAGCAAACCAATCGAGTATTTTCAAGCTTAGAAACGAGTAATTTGTTAAAAATGCTACTTTTAATGAACGAGCTTCTTAATGAACAATCAAAACAAACAATGTAACAAATATAAACAAATACCTCTAATAAATAGATGCTATAATATTTAATTAGTTTTAAAATTTATTAATTAATATTTCCTTTCCTAGCTTTGCACAACGATTCAACACACAAACATATGAAAGATAGGGATGTAGCATTCATAAGGAAAACCAGAGTTTTTACGTGGAAACCCCTAAAAAGGGAGAAAAATCACGGGGCCTCGCTCAATTTAAATGAATCCACTAGCGTTTGCAATTGATTACAAATTAGGCCCTTTCTTGGGGGGGAAAGCTTTGGCTTGATGTAGCAAATATACATCATATAGAGTGCATTATATGGTGGGAGTTGGAAGAATTAGAGTTGACAGGTTTGTTTGGTCGACAGGATCATAGTCAGCGAGCGATGTAGATTGGAAGGATCATAGTCGGGCGATGTTGATCGAAAGGACCATAGTTGGGCAATAGTGATCGAAAAGATTGCAATTGGGTGATGGTGGTCGGAAAGATCATAGTCGAGTGAGGATGGTTAAAAAGACCGTAGTCAGTAGGCGACTGAGGTCGGAAAGACCATAGTCGGTGAAGGTGGTCAAAGAGACCATGGTCGGTGGGCGACGGGGATTGGTAAGATCGTAGTTAGTGAAGGTGTTCGAAGAGATCATAGTTGGCAAGCAACGGAGCTCGGAAAGAGTATAGTCAGTTGACGGTGGATGGAAGGACCATAGTTTGGGGGAGATGGAGGTTAGAAAGACTATAGTCGGGTGATGGCGGTCGGAAGGACCAGAATCGAGTAACGATGGTCAGAAGGATCATAATTGGTGACGGTGGTTAGAAGGTTGTAGTTACGTAATGGTGGTCAGAAGGAGCATAATTGACTGGCGACCGAGGTCGAAATGGCTATTGTCATGTGATGATAGTCGGAAGGACCATAGTTGAATGACCATGGTCGGGCATAAGTCCGGTGAAATTCTGGCAACGGCTGATGGCCGGATGGCGGTCAAGGTGAAGCTTGGTGGCCGGATGACCATAGTTGGGCAATAGAGATCGAAAAGATTGCAATTGGGTGATGGTGGTCGGAAAGACCATAGTCGAGTGAGGATGATTAAAAAGACCGTAGTTGGTAGGCGATCGAGGTCGGAAAGATCGTAGTCGGTGAAGGTGGTCAAAGAGACCATGGTCACTGGGCGACGGAGGTTGGTAAGATCGTAGTTAGTGAAGGTGTTCGAAGAGATCATAGTTGGCAAGCAACGTAGCTCGAAAAGACTATAGTCAGTTGACGGTGGTTGGAAGGACCATAGTTTGGGGGAGATGGAGGTTAGAAAGACTATAGTCGGATGATGGCGGTCGGAAGGACCAGAATCGAGTAACGATGGTCAGAAGTATCATAATTGATGACGGTGGTTAGAAGGTTGTAGTTACGCAATGGTGGTCAGAAGGAGCATAATTGACTGGCGACCGAGGTCGAAATGGCTATTGTCGGAAGGACCATAGTTGAATGACCATGGTCGGGCATAAGTCCGGTGAAATTCTGGCGACGGCCGATGGCCGGATGGCGGTCAAGGTGAAGCTTGGTGGCGCACACACACACACAAACTAAAGAATAAGGAATCTATTTATAGTTCTTTGGGAGTGGTATGGCTGGTAAAAAGGGAGAAGAGCACGAGTATGTTGGGAGTGTTTTAATGGACGACTGATATTTATTACCTTGATCATGAATCGTTTATAAAATATTTAAGTTCCTTAATGATATCAGAATTCAACGATCTTGGGCTCCTTGGATTCGTCTCATCGAGCAACTCAATTCGACTATAAGCATGTCACATTTGGATGACATATGGTCATTCAATTTATGCTTTGAACCTTCTAAGTATACTTCAGACCCATGATTTTGACCAATTTGGGCTTGGATTGAATTGAATTTGATGTCATTGGATACATCTTTTCGAGATGTTCAATTTGATTATAAGTTTTTTGAACTCCGAGTTTGTAAGGCCCTGAATTTTATTTCAGAAGTTTCCAATATGAATTTGTTTCGAGATTTGTGCTCAATCAAGATAATTTTTTGATTATATATATATATATATATATAACATTCATATTCAATTATCCTTCAGTTTCATAATAGTTATTCAAGCTCCATATAAAACATTAATCGAGTTTCTTAACGAACTTGTTGGAGATATTTGTATAGGGCATAAATCAACCTTCTCAAAATACTTCTTATCGAGCTTATTCACAAGCTTTAAATAATATTGTTAATGAACGTAAATGAGTAGAACAAATAGCTACTAAAGCTTATTTGTTTAAGTATCAAGTATTTAAAAAATGTTCAAATTTGTTTAATTACTTAATCAAATGATAGTGAACTATTTTTAATTGAACTGAACCACAAATAACTTGTCAAACACGCCATATTTAAAAGCACTTTGTTAAAGAGTTGAAGGAAAAAAAATTATATGTTTATGTAGATGTACTTTAGTTATATCAATAGTTTTTTTAATTAAGCAGAACCAAACAAGTTAAAAATCCTCTTCATACAATTTTAACTCAGCTTTGCATCAATCCGATTTAATCACTAGACCAAATATTACAATAATCAGATTTTTAATGTAGCCAATCTCATGTTCTATTTGAAGAATTAAACAAATGTATAAACAAGATTACGGCTTCATTTGAGACAACTTTCTTACTACTTTCTAATACAAAGATTTCTAGTTCAAGAAAATTTTGTACTAAAAATTTATTTTAAAAAACAATAAAAAAGTTATCACAAATGAAACCCAAGGCAAATGGGCGAGCAATGAGTTAAGCTTCCATTTAAATGGAAGAACAATTTGCTTTTAAGAAGTAATCATGAGAAACTATTTTGTGCGGACACCGGACCGTTCGAAGGCGAATCAAAACACGCCATATCACCCAGTACACAAAGGTACATAACCACGATATACAACAAATTGGCGACGTGACACGTTCTGATTCGCCTTCGGACGATGTCCGTATCCGCACATAATAATTTCACGTAATTCATACACATTAACCTTAAGGAAAGCTCATACAATTAAGTTTAATATTTAACTAATTATTCAACTAATGTTTAGCTAATTTTTATAATATCATATATTTAATGAGTTAAATACAACCAAGATTTTTGTTGGTCATATTTAGCTTAAGAATATCATGATTATATGAAGGGCTCTTAATTGGTTGGATGAGTTAACAAAAAAAAAGTCAAATATAAACTCAGCTCATTAATTAAACAAACAAAAATCAAATATAAACTCAACTCATCTTAGTCTGTTGGTTTGGAGTTTTGACTAAGAACCAAGATATCTTGAGTTCAAGTCTTACGAATATGTTGTGTGTGTGAGTTTGACGTAATTGGCCAAAAAAAAAAATCAAATAGCAAAATTTTGATGCATTCGCATAACGAGTTGAGTCAAATAACATTTGAGCTTGCTCAAATTTGTTTCATTTACACCTCAAGAGAAAGTAGTAATTTATAAATAAAAATGTAAACTGGCTTTTCAGAACAAAAGGGGGCAGTTTATTCATGTCAACAAGCTTCATTCAGGTTAATTGGTTTACCTTCTCTTTCTTGGCACTTTCCTTGGCTTCTGAAACACTCTTTGCTCCTTAAAATCTTGTGTCATGTTGTACACCTTTGTACAGAAGCACCCACAACAAACTAAAAGTATTAGGAAAAAAGAACATAAATGTAAGGATAATAGAAAGTAAGAACATACCCACAACAAACTAAAAGTATTAGGAAAAAAGAACATAAATGTGAGGATATTAGAAAGTAAGAACATGAATGATTAGAATCTAAATGATTAAGATTTCCTTAATTTTAATTGCTCATTAATTGATGAATAAATTGATGCAATACGAGGATTTACATGCAAAGTTAACTATTTTTCCTTCCATGTGATTTTAAATAAAATGAATGAATCCTTTTGTGAAGGAGACTGGGCTTTTATGAAATGTTTTGAGTTTATGAACGGTTCATTTATTTTTATTAAAATTTGATTGTATTGTGGCGAAAAAAGAAAATGCCATTAAAATTTCAAAACATTGATAAACAACGATTAAATGCAAAAATGTGCCCACAAGAGTGCAATAAAAATGTTAAGGAAATGAAGCGAAAACATTTATTCCAAATTTAAGGGTGATAGAACTTCTGAAATATATATAGAACAAGAAAAGATTTTTAAGAATAAAAATTTCATATATTAGGCTAACAAATCACTTCCTGGTTCCACCAGTATATGCACAAGCCATGTTAAAAGGCGTAGTTTGTTAGACCGGTCCAGCCGGTCCATACGGGATTGGCTCAACGTATCAAGAGGCGGAAGCGTTCGCCTCCTGTATGAGCCGCACAAGCCACAAGATCCACGGGAGCCAATTTGGAAGGATTTTTTAGGGACTTAGGAGGGAAATTTGAATGTAGGGACTGTTTAGAGATTTCCTTTTTGATTGTATACATTAAATAGTTTGTTTTCCTAGGGTTAGGACATCTTGAATTTGGCTGAAATTTGAGATCCCTTGGGTTTTCTTTGGGCTCTAGCGGTGTCTAGAGATTTGGGAGAGATCGATCCTCCTCTCGAATATAGGATCAATTGTATCTTAGTATTTTCCGTTTCCATTTCATCAAATAATACAAATTATCTACTGTTTTCCTACTTTTGTGTGGATTTTTGTGGAGAAATCTCGTTGTTTTCTGAAGATTGATAAGAAATACTTGAGATCTACAAGTGTTTCCTATCATATTTCTAGCAAAAAATACAGGAAAATATGATATCTATCTTATGTGGAAAGATTACCTTCCTTACTCCCGATGACAAACCCATTTTCCTAATAGAACTCCCATCAACGCACTTCCATGTTATCTCACTCCTATCCTCATCACTGTTCAGCTGAGTCAATCCTTCTGCAAATACAAAATGCAACAAAAATAGTTAAATGTTAGGAAAAAAAGAAAGAAAGATAAAAGATAACATAATTGCTATTAGAATGTGATCGTACACCTTTGAGAGTCAAAACTAACAATTCAACATACATCTGAAGCCTTATGTGAGAAAAGACATGAACATATTCACCAACATCCTGTCTCAACATAACCTTGCAATTTTCTCCAACATCAAGTTTAAAAGATTTCTTTAGATACTTGTCAATTTCTTTCCTCCTCATGCACTGATTCATACTTCCTTCATCCATTATAACTGAAGGAAACTCCCAAAGCCCAGCAAGCAAACCATTTTCTGGTCTCTTTACCAAAAGAAAAACATGTTTCAGACCGTTATCATTCAAAATCTGCTCATCAAACTCTGCTATTTCAACTACAGATACTGCAGCAAAATCATGTCTTTGCTTGTTCTTTGCTACCTTTGTGGGATAATCAGTGACCTTTAATTTCTGACTCTTTTTTGAAAGTAAAAACGCTTGGCAATGATCAGAAACTGGACATTTAGAACAAGCAGGATTGGTTGAACTGCACAAAGTTGCTCCAAGTTCCATTAAGGCCTGGTTGAAGTCACCAGGCCTTGAAGGATCAACTAATTGCCTTGTCAGTTTCCTAGCAAGAAAATAGATAAAAATGAAAGGCAATAGAACTCTTAAGATAAATAGGATTAGGTCTGGAATAATACGCAATTGCGCCACAGGGCATAATAAGCTATTTTTAAAAAATGGCATGTCAACAAAAAATTGCAATTTCACAATATGAATTATAAACAGTAGGATCGTAAGAGCTTTACCATATAAGCTTCACAGTTCCAGCTTCTTTTGGATTTGCAGATATGGCTCTGAGTCTTGTAATTACCCGCACCACATTACCATCCACAACAGGAACCACCTAAACTCACAAGAACATTTTCACATTGGATGAACAGAATAAAATAATGGCATAAAAGAATGCAAATTTAAGAACCTCATTGAAAGCAATGGAAGCAATTGCTCCTGCCGTGTAATCTCCAATTCCCTTCACGCAAAGAAGCTCTGAAGCAGATCTCGGAAACTTCCCTTCATCAACAATGGACTTTGCACCCTGTTCATCTCCGCCCAGATTCCAAAATCTCAACTTTTTTCCATTACCACAAACAATCTTTCATGAATGAAACAGCAGAAATTTTACCTCCAAGAGGAATCGAGCCCTCCTGTAATACCCCAAACCAGCCCACATCTCATTCACTTCCTTCACAAAATTACAGAACTAGTTGACGAAATACGCCAAGAGAAATATGAAAAAATCGATTTTTAGAGGGAGTTTTTGCAACCACCTCGAGAGAAGCCGAGGAGAGATCGCGGATGGTTGGCCATTTCTCCATCCAGCGATTGAAGTAGCCCATCACGGTGGGGACGCGAGTTTGTTGGAGCATGACTTCCGAGACCCATACAACGTACGCTCTCTGCTCCTCGTCCACTTTCACCGGCGTCAGAAGGGATCCAGCGCCGGCGGCCGGCGTTCTCCATGGCAAGTCCCGACTGTTCTCGTCGTACCAGCGGAGAAGGGAGGAGCGGATAGCTAGGGTTTCGGATTTGGAAAAATCTTCGATGTCGTCCGTGGCGTTGAGGATTGCGACGGCTGTTGATTTTCTCCTCTTTTGAGCGGCCATTGATCGCCGCGTCGGCTGCATTTTGTTTCCCGTTGAGCTTTGATTGGCTTTGATTGGTTCGGAGGATTTCAAAGTTGGGAGAGGGATTCTCCCCGCCAAGTGAAGCAAGTGGAAGAAGGAACTTAAAGTAATCATTTTTTTTTTGTAGTGTGCTAATTAGTTCAGTTTATTTTTTATTTTTCTATATTTTAAGTGAGTTGGATTACATCAAAGATCAGCCTTCAGTACATATCTTTTTACTTTAGTCATGGATGTTCTCACTAGACATTTGCAAGAGGATGTACCTGATGTATGCTTTTTACTTGTGATATTCTTCTTGTTGATAAGATTAGAGATGGAGTTGAAGGTAAACTCGAATTATGGAGGTCAACTTTAGAGTCTAAAGGTTTTCGCTTGAGTAGATCTAAAACTGAATATATAGAGTGTAATTTAAGTAGCAATAAATCTAGTGATGAGATTGTGACTTTGAGCGATCAAGTCATTAATAAGAGTACAAGTTTTAGATGTCTTGGATCTATTGTTCAGAGTGATGGTGAAATTGATGGGGATATTATCAGTAGAATTCAAATTAGATGGTTAAAGTGGAAGAATGCATCGGGCTTATTGTGTAATAAAAAAGTCCCCCTCAAACTTAAGGAAAAATTATATAAGATGGTGGTGAGACCTTCAATGCTTTATGGTGCCGAATGTTGGCCATTAAAAGAGAAGCATAATACTAAGTTAAGTGTTGCGGAGATGAGGATGCTTAGGTGGATGAGTAGCTTGACCGTTAGAGATAGGATACGAAATGAGCATATACGTGAAAAGGTTGGAGTTGCTCCAATGGAAGATAAGATTAGAGAGATACATATTACTCTTCAAATAATCCTATTGTTAACATTATGCCACCTCATAAACTGAAAATTACATTTATGCCTCATCAATGGCCTTTCATGATTTGAGGCAAAAATCATAGTTTTATGCGCTACAAGTTTACGTGGCGCCGTGCGCATTTGTGACAAAGGTTGGATAGGGTTTTATTTAATAATTCTTGGTTAAACACTTTTAATGTGACCAAGGTTGAGCACCTTAGTCGGACTCTTTCTGATCACTCTCCTTTGCTTATTAATATTAAGAATAATCCTAAAAATTTTCTTAAACAGTTCAGATTTCAGAATATGTGGCTTCATCATGAGTCTTTTTTAGAGGTGCTTAGGGTGAATTGGGAGGCTCCAGTTTTTCCTAATAACTCTATTTCTAGCATGAAAAGACTTTGGCTTAAGTTGAAAAGACTTAAGTTAGTTTTGAATTGGTGGAATCATAATGTTTTTAAAGATTTGTTCAACAACATTCTTCTTGCTGAAAATAAAATTAATTCCCTTGAGGATATTTGTCAGTCGGTCTCCTCTCGGGCTAATTTGTGTTTTCTTAATGAAGCTAAAATGGAGTTGGCTAAGCTTCAGGTTCAAGAGGAATCTTTTTGGAAACAAAAAGCTGCGACTAAGCATTTATCGGAAGGTGACAATAACACTAAATATTTCCATGCTTTTGTTAATAAGAAACGTTCTATTAACAATATCCATAAGATTTCTCGTGATGATGGTTCTACTATTGAGGATAGAGAGGAGATTGCTAGCTTAGCTGTTAATTTTTTTCAAAAGCATCTTAATAAGTCTTTTATTCCGGTTTCTACTGTTGAGCCTGCTATTATTCCTAATGTTATTAATCAAGGGATATTTCCCTTTCTTTGGTTCCTTCTGTTGAGGAGATCAAAGATACCTTATTTAATATGAATACTGAATCGGTTGCTGGGCCGGATGGTTATACTACCAAGTTCTTCCATATTACTTGGTCTATTATTTCTGATGACGTTGTTTCTGCGGCCACTGATTTTTTTAAAGGCTCTCATATTCCTAAGTTTTTCACTTCTACTTCTATTGTTTTAATTCCTAAGAACTGTGTTGTTAACTCGTGGAACGATTTTAGACTTATTAGTTTGTGTACGGTTTTTTATAAACTTATCTTGAAAATTTTGGTTAGGAGGTATTCTCCCTAAGATTATCTCTCCTAATCAAATGGGTTTTGTCAAAGGCCGTGCTATTGTTGATAATATCCTTTTAGCCTAGGAAATTTTTCATGATCTGGATGTTAAGGTTAGAGGTGGTAACATGATTATGAAACTGGACATTGCCAAGGCCTATGATAACATTGATTGGAATTTTAGCTATAAGATGTTGACTCTCTTTGGTTTTGATTTGACCTTCATTAATCTTATAAAAGCTTGTATTGAATCTCCATTTTTCTCTATTATTGTTAATGGTAATTCTCATGGTTATTTTCAATCTTCTCATGGTCTTAGGCAAGGAGACCCTATGTCTCCGGCTATTTTCATTATTGCTGCTGATTATCTCTCTCGGGGTTTGACTAATCTTTTTTTTAATTGCCGTTCTCTTTTATTTTAAAACGTTAGGTGGATTTCATATTTCCTAACTTTGATTTGCTGACGATTTCATTGTTTTTTCTAATGGTTCTAAGAACAGGATTACTAAAATTTTGAGAGTTTTTTGTCACTTTGAAGCTGTGAGTGGTTTGTCCTTTAATAAGCAGAAGTGTTGTTTCATTGTTTCTAAGAATGTTAAGCCGGATCGTATTTCGGATATTTTGCATACCACTGGTTTTTCTCAAGGTGTTCTTCCTCTCAAATATTTGGGTATTCCTCTTTTCAAGGGTAGAAAAAAAGCTTTCCTTTTTTATGGCTTAATTTCTATGATTCAGAATAAATTATTTTCATGGAATTTTAATTTTTTAACTTTTGGTGGTCGCCTCACTCTCATTAAAAGTGTGTTATGTTCTATTCCGGTTTATAGTTTTCAAACCCTTCTTCCTACTAAGGGTGTTTGTCTTAAGATTGAGAAGATTTTAAATAATTTTTTTTGGAGAGGTTCTGCTATCAATTCCAAGATTCATTAAAAGGATTGGGTTGGGTGTTGTGGTCCTAAGCATGAGGGAGGTTTGGGGTGTAAAGATTTGGGTGACATGGTCGGCTTTCTCTTTTAAGTTGTGGTTTAATTTTAGGTGTAACACTAGTTTGTGGTCCAATTTTATGAGGGCTAAATATTGCGATGAGAAGCATCCTTCTTTGTGTTCCTATGCAGGTAACTCTAGGGTTTGGCATAGGATTTGTTCTGTTAAATGGAAAATGGAGTCCTTGTTAGTCTGGGGTCTTGGTAAGGGGAACATTTTCTTTTGGCAAGATAGGTGGCGTAATGGTGTTTCTATTGATTCTTTACTTAATATTGTCTCTATCTCTAATTGGAAGGTTAATGAATTTTTCTCTTCTAACGAGTGGGATTTGGAGAAGTTGACTGTTATTCTTCCTAATAGTATCATTCAACTTATTCTTAAGATCCCTATTAATGGTAATGTGGAGGATGTTTTACTTTTCTAGGGCTCCAAAAATAGTTATTTCAGTATTATGAGTGCCTGGCATTCATTTAGGACTATTAAAGATAATTCTAATCTTTTAAAAATGTCTTGACACTACTCTATCCCTACTACTATTTCTGTTTTTTTATGGAGGCTTGTTCATAGATTCATCCCTACATATGATAATTTGAGGAAGCACGGTTTCACCATTATTTCTAAATGTCAATGTTGTTTTCATGTGGAGAATTTGCATCACATTTTTATTTCGGGTTCTATTGCGGCCAAGGTCTGGATTTTTTATGAAGATCTGTTAAACTTGAATTTATATAACGCTTCATTGCCTATATCTCAATTACTTGACCTTTGGTTTGTTAATTCTAAAGGCCATATTAGAAATGTGATTTCTGCTCTCATTTGTTGGTTTCTTTGGTTGGAGAGGAATGACTCTCGCTTTAATGGGGTTAGAATGGATCATCAGAGAATTATTCACATAATTAAATATAAAATTAGTGCTCTTTTTTATGCTAAGTTGATTTCTATTAATAATCTTACTAATTTTCATTTTATCCTCCCTTTCTTTGGTCCGAATGGGGATGTGGATACGATTAATGTTAGACAGTTTTCTATGAAATGGTGTAAGCCTTTTCCTAATTACTTCAAGTTGAATGTAGCTTGGGTTAAAATTCGTAGTAAGTATGGTTATGCTGGTATCATTAGAAATCATCTTGGGTTATACATTTCCGGTTTTGCTGGAACTGTTAATGTTGAGGATAGCTATGTTGCCTTTTTTTCTGGGATCTTGTATGGCCTCAAGCTTTGCAAGAAGTTGGGCATTCGAAACGTTATTTTAGAAGCTATTTCGTCCTTTGATAGTATGTTGAGTTTGGATGTTGATGATACTAGGTGTGGCCCTAGTATGTTTTACATCAGGAGAAATATTTTTCAAGAGTTGAAGTTTGTCTCTTATCACTATTATGTTATTATGGTGAAAGGTAATGCCTCTGCTCAGGCTATGGCCACTTTGGGTATTGTTTTCAAGGATTACAAGGAGCTGAGTTGGGATCATTTGTCGGGTTTTGTTCAAGGCCTTATCAATTTAGATCAAATTGGTTTTCCTTATGTTTGTCATTAATTCTGGTTGTGTGGTTGGGTGGTGTTTTCTTCGTTCCTGGTGCTTTGTCTTGGCTGTCACGTGTTCTGGGGCTGTGGGTTTTTGGGCCATGTTTGTTTCGGTTAGCTTCAGGTTGTTGTTTCCCGCTCTTTGGGTTGGGTGGTGCTGGTTTGGGTATTGGGTTGAGGGGTTTTGGGTGGTGCTGGTTCTGGTGCTTTGGTATCTGTTGGGTGAGGTGAGTTTGGGGTTTGGTCATTGTGGCCTTTGTTTTTTTGGTGCATTTTCTACGTAGAGATCTCTGTGGTTTTTTTTGTGGTTGTGGAGTGTGGTTTCTAGCTTTGTTGGCTGGGTTGGGTGCTTCTACTTGGGGTTCTTGTTTGTGTGGGAGGTGGTTTTTGTGCTGGGTGTACGGGTTTTTCTGGTGGTGGGGTATTGGTTGGTTCTTTGTATTGGTGACAGGTTGTTTGTTGTAACCTGGAGTTCCTTTACCTATTCTCGTCTTATTATGGCTAGCTTCTGGTATCGGTGGTTTCTCATTCCTATTCTTGGTCATTTCGGTTTCATTATTTGTAGTGTTTTTTTTTTGGGTGTCTTGTTGTTTGTGCAGGGTTTTTGTGTTGATAGAAGCTGGATATGATTTTTTGCTGGGAAGAAGATCGTGCTGGACTGGTCTATTTTGTTTCCCTCTTTTTGGGTGCTCGTCCTTAAGCAAGCTCGTCCTTAAGCACCGTAGTATGTTCCTAGGGTATTATGTTTTTTTGGTAGTAAGGACCTTGTGCTCGTAGGTTTTTTTACTTTTAATTTTGTAACTCTTCTGAGCAGTAGGGAGCGCGAGGTCCTTTTAAGGACTGTGTAATTTTTTTCGTTAATCAACACGTAGGCCTCTCCGTGGGTTTTAACTAAAAAAAAAAGTTTTATGCGCTACATGATGGAGATTGAGTTGGCTTACATTTAAATTGAGTCAAGAATGTTCCATTTTGAATATAATTTCAAGCCTTTATTAATTTTATTAATTGCAATTGTTACCACACGCCGTTGCCACAAGCCGAACACCACCACCCACTGCCACCACCGGCCACCATCGTAACCAATCATAGCCAACTACCACCATCGCTGTCCACCATAGCTACCTGCTACCGCCGGCTGACACTGACCATTATTTCCAGCACCATCATCATCACTGGCCATCACTTTACATTGCATTTATTTTACTTCAAACAAAAAAATAAAGTAATATCAAATATTTATTTTACACTCATCCAAACAACTTCAAAATATTCTTTTTACACTATTTCTTTTTAAGCCAACCAAACAGCCCCTTAGCTAAGGAAAAAAATAATAGTAATAATAAAGGAATAAAATTAAGCTACATGTAATTGATGTAAAATATATTAGCTTCTCAACTATATATGTTAATAAATATTTCACAAGCTTCTACTAACCTCTGCCAGAACCTAAAAATTAATTAATACAATTTTTATGATGCCGCTTCATTAGATGCTATTCTCTGAAAACAAACGAGGAATTCAGTATTCCCCTCTGCTCCTTTTATTGGTGACTCTATCCAGCCTTTGTTACAAAATCCGAATTCCTCCACGCCTTTAATTATTCTTTCAAGAACCTGAAGGCAGAAAGCAAAACAAGCATTATGTTATAATGTTCAATCAAGGTAATATTCATAAGATAAAAAAAGAAGAAGTTAGAATGATGTTTCATTTATGACGGTTTTCTTACTATTTTTAAAAATAGTAATATTTTAATACAAAATTTTTAATTTTTATATTAAAAAATGTTTTAAAAAATAGTAAAAAAACTGTTCTAAACGAAGCCTGAATTTTAAATTTTCTTTAAGATTAATATAAAATATATTTTGATTGATTATTTATATATTGCACTAATCTTAAAACAAATCTAATGGCTTTGAAATTCATCTTGATTATAGTCACATTTACTGATCCTACTGATCATAATGAGAAATGGAGCAGAAATTTACCTCTTGATGCACAAGAGGATCTCTTACAATTCCACCTCCTCCAACCTGGAAATCACACAATTGAACTCCAACAGATTATTACATTGCTTTCCAGCAAAGCAAAAGTCAGTGAACGCGTTGACTGAGCTTATTTTATAATCAAACAATATATAATAACACATTCAACTACTTAGGCTATGTTTGAGATGGCCTTCTTAAAGCAATTTTTTAGTATAAAATTTTTAATTTTCTACTAAAAAATTGTTTTAAGAAGCAATAAAAGAGCCATCCCAAAAGAAACCTTAATCCATAAGAAGATGCTGAGCAAGATTTAAGACAGTGAAGAACCAACATGATTAGGATAACAGACCTGGGATCTATGAGCTTCAAACTGAGGCTTAACAAGAGTTACCAATGTAGATTCTGTCTTCATAACTTTGACGACAGCAGGCATAACCTACACAGGCATATATGGAAATATTAAGACGAGCGCTAGCCATAGAAAATAGGCCAATTATGAAGTAAAATAAAGAGTAATCTTATGGATGTTCTTAAAAAAACAAAAACTTTTGATCAGTAGTTCAGGATCATAGTTCTTAATCTTAGCTCTATCATGGTTAATACCAGATGATAAATCATTGTAAGCAACATGGAAAAACTAATAAGTTTCTGAACATAAGAGAAATGAAAAATGAACTAGATTCACACTAAATACAATTGGGAATTCATTTATACCTTAGTGAGCAATTAGTGGAGTAGAGAGAAAGCAGGAAATAGAGTTCATGAGATAAGATGAATTAAGCTCTCTTATATAAGTCAGGCTCGTTTCGAACAACTTATATTTTTATATTTTTGTTGTTAAAGTTATTTTCTCAACTACAATTACTAATATGTTTTTTCAAAAGAAACTTTTGTAAGGAAAAATTTTAAGAAAATTTCTCCATAGATATTCTGCTTTATATCGACTGTTTTCTTACCAAAAAAACAGTCAAAATGCTATTTGAAACAAAGCCTTAGACTCTGGTTCAATTTCAAACAAAATTACTTGGGTTCTTTCTTAATGCTCTCAATGTTTTGCACCAAATTTTACATGGTGAATATGACAAATTATTACACACGCTAAGGACTTCATCCTGCCTAACCTTTGTTTATGTAGTGCCAGTTCTTATATCCAGAAGCAGATTGACCTGCACCGCCTATGGTATACTTGTTCAAGTTACCATTTGAGGATTAAAAATAAAGAAATGAGCTGTAAATCAAGAAATGAGCCACATTGCTTTGGGTTATCGGGTCTGCTATGAACTCCAATGGGATTGAGGGGGATGATGAAGAAGATTTAATGAATGAAAGATAAGAGAAAATACACAGATCTGCTCACAAAATAACAATTTCTGTTTGCAAAGTTCTAAAAGCATACCAAAAGGATAGAAATAAATGATAGATCTAAGGTCACCAAGTCCACTTCTCTTGGCAATCCAGATAGATATCTCAAGTTTGTTCGTTCAATGACACAGACACGGTCATCGTGTCGAATTTTCTCAGCTACCTGTAGAAACAGTTATCGACTTAGAATTCATTAAAAATAAACTTTGAAATGGAATAACATCCATTGACAAAACGCAATCTAAAATTCCCGTTAAGATCTCAGAGTCACAAAATAATAAAGATCATAATATAAACCCAGGTTAAGAGTCGGATCAATCAGCTTCACTAGATGCTACGATCTTGAATAAAAGGAAAATTAACGTGTTAGTTTATAAAACGTATGTCCTAAGAGCTTCCTTTGTGCCAAAAACTTAAAAAAAAAAAAATCATTTTGGCTTTCAGTGTCTGGAACACAACCATTTATGTTTATAACCAATAAAAGGTTTTCTTACCTATCTAGTGACAGCCTCTAACATATATTCTTGCTTAATATAGATAAAGAGGGAACAAAAGTTGATATTAGAGGATAAGCCTCATAAATTAATTTATGTACAAACCAAAATAATCACACATTCAACCAGCTTACAGAGTTCTCGGATATCTAAAATCAAATTAAAAAATGAGTTTTCTACAAAAAAATATTAAACTTTATAAATTGAAGGTTATATTGATGCTAATAATGCGATCATTAGTGGATAGGAGATCCACTTCGGGATATTGTACACTTCTAGGAGGAATTCCTATAATATGAAGAAGTAAGAAACAACCCGTGGAATTCAAAATAATCACTCAAGCTATCTGTGAAATTTTATGGATTAATATTATAGTATTATACTAGAATACTTAAAAATCAAATTGGAAGTACCTATAATGATGTGAAACGTAAATGCCATATACTTGCCTAGGTGGCAAGATTAATTAAAGCTCAAATCAATTTGGGGAGAGAGAATGGAAATCTGAAATTAAGGTGTAATTAAAGCTAATTCAAATTCAAATTTTGAATTTGAATTGTCATTAATTGGGAGGATTAAATGATTAATTGATTTAAATCTGAAATTAAATTTCAGATTTAAATTAATGGTTATTGGCTTAATTGGAGGGACGAATTTAAGGAGTAATTAATGCTAATTCAAATTCAAATTTTGAATTTGAATTGTCATTAATTGTGAGTCTCTCCTAATTAAGAAATTTCTTTATTCCAAGGAGGAAGAGAGGGGGAGGTAGGGGTTGGTGGGCGTCGGCCTAAGGGATGGTCGGACGGGCCAACAGGGCCGGCGGCAAGGAGAACTTGGGGAGGAAAAGCCCGAGCTTGGTAGAGGATGAGAAGTTCGGGGAAATCTAGGAATTTCTAACCTCACGCTCTTAAACTTCAAGATCTCAAAGGAGATTGTAGGAATGTTGGAACTCACACAGAGATCCACGAAACTCTCCTCAAGAACTCACAAAGAGATCTTGAGAATCTCGGAACTCACAAAGAGATCCGCGAAACTCTCCTCAAGAACTCACAAAGAGATCTTGGGAAAGTCGGAACTCACAAAGAGATCCTTCTGAACTCACAAAGAGATCAACACGAAAATAAAATTTTCCATTATCAATAATTCATCCCCCAAATACAAGAGAAGGGGCCTCTATATATAGGCCTTAAGAGAAATTAAAAGACACATTCGCCCCTTGGGCTTACATAAAACAAGAGGGTAAAATGAGAAATTGCAAAAATAAATTAAAATACACTTAATAAACGAAAATAAAGCAAAGTGATCTCGGTCGTCGATCTTCAGCTCCTCGGATTGGCATGGACGGTTGGATGTCCGCATCATATAAGGATATACTATGATAATAAGTATGCCATTAGCATTGCACATAATCTAGGACAATATGATAAAACTAAACATGTGAAAATGGATAGAAATTTCATTAAAAAAAATTTGGAAGGTAGGTTAGTTTGTACACTGTATGTTCCTATATATTATCAACTCTCCGACATAATCCTCAAAGGTCTTTGCAATCATGTATTAAAAAATATTCTATATAAACTTCAAATGATAAATCTCCACCATTTAGTTTGAGAGGGAGTGCTTAAAATACAAAATCTAATGAATGATGACTTGGCGAAACTAGAAATAAATCAAAGGAATCTACTCATACATAATGAAGGGATTATGATGTAGGGTCTATAGTGATGAAGAAAATAATTAATTTGCATCCTCTTAGAATGGTGAAGGGTTACATTGTGGTGATGAAAGGATATTCGAAGTTTGGACAAATTTGGTGCTAAAACTGTTGGGCTATCAAAAGGAAATATTTTCTTAGAGAAAAAGGGTGCGAAACTCCAGATTAAAGGTTTGGGATGTTAAGAAATAAATGTTGGTACTTTTATGGATTTTCAATCAGTGATTAACGAATTATAATATTTTTAATCAAATTGCTTACGAAAAATATCTTTTAATACATTGTGTTAATGCTAGGGTGTTTCCTGAAAGCAACGTGCTGTATGGCCTGAATTCAATGACAAATATGCAAGGGTCGCTGCATTGACACTTGGATGTGTTGTTAAATAGGCAAGGGCACCCACAATGGACAGATGTGGGCAAAGAATCTAGTCTGTGAAACTAAATTTAGGATAGGAACTTAGAATATAAGTTCTCTTACATACAAATTAATTGAATTAATAGATATAATGATTATTAGGAAGATAAATATTTTATGCATTTAGAAAACTAAATGAGTTGAAGAGAAGGCTAAGAGATTGATAGTTTAGAATTTAAACTATGATATTCTGATAGGAGTCGTATTAGAAATGGTGTATGTGTAATTATAGATAAGAGTTTGAAGGATAATGTTGTAAAAATTAATAGAATTGGAGATAGAATTATCACTTTAAAGATTATTGTTGATACTAAGATTATTAATAGGGAAATTTACATACATATCACTTTAAATCATCCTATTTACATATCTAGCACCCAAAACTTTAATATTACATACATATCATCCTATATTATTTTAATATCAAATATATCATTCATATTTCCTTCCTATCACTCATATATTTTATTTCTACCACTCATATTTAATATGAAAATGAATTATAGGTGGTATCTATGTAACATTAAAATTTTAACTGTTAAATATGTAAATAGAATAGTATAAGGTGATATATATGTAAATCTACCTTATTAATATTATAGATGCTTATGCTCCTCAAATAGGATTGGATATGTGTACAAAATTAAAATTTTGGAATGACTAGAAGAATTAATACAAAAGATCTCTTGATAAAAAAAATTTTATTAGAGGAGATTTAAATGGACATGTCGGTAGAGATCTAGATGATTATAAAAGCATTCATGATGTCTATGAGTTTGAAATGATTAATGAATGTGGTAAGACCATATTAGATTTTGATATAATTTAGGATTTTATAATTGATAATACCTTATTTAAGAAAAGAGAATAGTATCGCATCACTTGTAAGATGGACAAAGCAAAACTCAGATTAATTATTTTCTTATAATAAAAATAGATCGTCAAGTTGCAAAGATTGAAAAGTTATTCTAAGTGAAAGTATATGTAATCAACATCACTTATTAGTTTTGGACTTTAAAAGGAAAGGGAAAAATATAAAAAATAAAGTAAAACATTATTCTAGCATTAGATGGAGGCATTTAAAAAGCACTAACTAAAATATTTTTTAGAGTAAAATTCTAGATGTTAAGATTTTATTTGTGTATGAGGAAGCTAATGTTATGTGAAAAAAATAATTAGTGATATTAAGAATATTGTAAATGATGTACTTGGAGTATCAAGGGAAAAAACTTCTAATAGTAAAAACGCTTGGTGGTGGAATTAAAATGTGCAAGTAAATATCAAAAATAAAAAGCTTTATTTTAAAAATTAGTTTAGATATGAAAATACTGAAAATTGTGAAAGATATAAAGAGAACTATAAGGAGTCTAAGAAAGAAAAATGCGATGCAAAGTTTTTAACTTTTAATGATTTATATAATAGATTATATACTAAGGAGGGCGAAATATATATTTTTTAAATTTTTTTGGATTACTAAACATTTTAATATTGATTGAAGACTAAAAAGATGTCAGATGAGTGGAGAATGAGTATGTTGATTCCTATTTTTAAAAATAAAGATGATACACAAGATTATGCGAATTACATAGAAATTAAGTTAATGTGTCATACTTTAAAACTAGGAGAGTTATGGAGTCTAGAATCCCTGAAAATACGCGACGACAGATTGTTTTTAAGTAATGTTCTAGCTGAGAAGAAGGTAAATTTGCAGGGAGTTCCCATACTTCAGATGATGTATACTCATGCAAAATACTCCCAACATAATGAATTATGTGTTCTCTGGCATCCTTCCTTTGATGAACTTTCCATGATGATCTTCTAGAAGTAGAAAATAGATCTCTATCACAAACGAATTCCTTTTTCAGTGCTTCTTCAACATTTTTCTCAGTTTTAAATAATTTTAAACATGAACTAACTGGATTGCCTACCAATCCGTCTATTATTTCATTTAATGCAAACTGTCGCACTTATATGGCAGAGCAACTATCCTGAATCGCATTGGGAATCAACCCTCTTTGTTGTATCCTTTCATTCTAACTTCAAAATTGAGTTTCCTCACATGTTCCCAAAGATTATCATTGAGGCCAATAAAGATATGATGCTTCTGTTCCCTGTCGTTATAGATTAACCAGCAAGTCTAAGAATCCTGGCAAGATCCAGGTACAATTTTTGACTCCCTACATTTAAGAACCAAGGAGGCATGCGAGGAAACTCGTATTCACTAGGCATGTTCTTTGAAGGACTTTCCATGGACAACTCAAAGACAAGAGGCAAATCATCACCATTAATAACATGGATTACACCACTAGAAAGAGAGCTAGTCTTCAGAGCTCAGCAACTGAGAGTACGTAACCCATTGAGAGCAGTGGCGGATCCAGCCCTTTTTTTTAGGGTGGGAAAACTCGATATAGATAAAAATATAAATACAAAAAATATAGATATATTTCACTAACAAAATTCAAAACAAAGCATTATATTTCATCATAATTTTTGAAATTAAAAAGAAAATTATTTGTATTTATATTTTTATCTATATCGAGTTTGCCCACCCTAAAAAAAAGGGCTGGATCCGCCACTGTATGTGAGTAGAAAATGTGATCATCTACAAGCTCTGGACCTGCATAATACAATAATGCAAGCAATCTCCGTGCATGTGAGAATGCAGCTACTTCTTCACTTCTTAGAACCATTTTTGGAAGTCTTTCTAGTAAGCTCGTAAATAATTCAGAAAAGCCGGTTTCTCTTAGAATTATTTTTTCATAAATGAAGAGAATTGAGGGAATCTTCAGCTCCTCCAAAAAGTAAAAGTGCAGTATGACAAAAGGCCTATGATACCACAACAAGTACTTTCTAAACCTTCTCAGCAAGATGAACACAAATATGCGGAAAGGTGGCAAACCATAATTTATCAACATGAGTAGAATTAAAGTTTGACCTTGCTTTAGAAAAAGTATCATGAACTTTCACCTTACTCATCTTGTTTTTGAGTTTGTACAGATTGACACATTGAATCTTTTGATTGATTAAGAAGACTGGCAGGCAATTGACGGATCACATCCAAGACTCTTTGGGTTTATCCACTCTTGTTATGATAACTGCACCTAATCTCGCTAGTGGAGATCTATAGTCCACTGAGGTTTACATTATCCCTTAAAACTACTATCAAGAACTTAGATAACCCATGAACTGCATGTTCAATACTCCCAGCATTTCCTGCACCATATTCTTGTCACAAGCAAAGATTTTGTGAAGGTACTAACCATACCCATAAGATAAATAGCAAGTGGATTAGCAGTTCCAACCTGAATTTCATCTTTTGAATCTTCCAACTTAATCAATTCAATGTAAACTTTGTCCATTCAAATCTCTATATTAGCTACCTCCTCTATCTCAACCTCAACATTTCCATCTTCAAAAATACCCCCACTAGTAAAAACCAAAGGTGCTTTTACTAGTTTTCTTTCATTATTAGATGTTGGTTTGGTTTTAGTGTCTTTTGAATCTTCATTTTTGGATTCTGAAAATACAGCTTCTTGGGATATGGATGTCTTGACAAAATCACTTTGCATAGGACTTAGGTTTTGATCAGCACCATTAGCTTGGCTTTGCAAATATCTCTCTTTGTCGACCAATTTATCCTCAGAAGCAGCTTGTGTTTCACTTATTGAACTCTCACTCTTCTTCTCCTCAATCATTTGCATCTTCATCTTTCTCACCTTAGGATTGTCACCGCCCCAATAGCTTCTTCCTTCTCAAATGTAGCAGTTGTCATGATCCCTCCATGTTTTCCTCGTGTATTGAGGATAGGAATCCCTCCCATGATTCAATCCCCAAGGCTCGGTTCGTCCATCTCCTTTTCCGGTTGTTCACTCCCCTTGTCCAAACGGCCTTTCATAGTGGTCGGTCATCCTACCACCCCCACCATAAAACTCCCTTCATACTCTCCCCCATCCGAAAACCCTATGTCACCCCTTATCAGAGAGCCCTAGAAGGTGACTCTTGATGAAAGGAGCACTCTTCGTCGAATTCTTCCTGTCTGATCTCTTTCCCTTTAGATTTGGCCAAGGGAATCTCGGTCAAATCATGGTGAGAGTTAGAAATCGAAATTGCCGATAGACTTTTGGATTGCATCTCAATGAGCATCTTCAACATCTCCTCCAACTCTCCAAATTGGCTCTCTATCCGATTTTTCATTGTTGAAAACCTTCCTTCGATGGTTGAGAATATCTTCTCCACCCCAGATTTTATTTGCTCCATTTTGCCTTTCAACGCATCCACCTTCTTTGCTTCCATCTCTCCAAAAACCTAGCTCTCATACCAATTTGATGGGTCTTGGAAGTAAAAACAGCAAAGGAGATAAGAAAAAAATGCAGGAATACCAATTTAGGGGCAGAATTTGGACTTCAAAAATAATGCAAGATACAATTGATCTACTATTTGAGATGCAGATCAGCCTTCCCACAAACTCTAGATGCCGCTAGAAAACTCACAACAAACCCTAAAATAAACTTCATCAAAACATAATCTCAAACCCCAGACAAACTCCCCCATAATAACCATAACACATAAGAAACATAACTGGAAGCTTCCTAATTAAAACCTCCCTAATTCAATACTTCCTAAACATATAATAAACATAACTGAAAGCGCCACCAAATACTAATTCACTATGGAGAAGAAGAATACCTGACCATAACCTACATCTATACCATATACAAAGGTTGCGCCATGCTGAAGCAAACAATCAGTAAAGCCACCTGTTGAAAGCCCTGAATCAAGTGCCACCTTTCCCACAACATCAATGCTGAGTTGTTCAATAGCAGCCTCTAACTTGAATCCAGCTCTGTTCAGGGGTCATTCACCAGAAGGTACATACTAGTAAGTTGAAATAGAAGTTGAAATGTCAGATAAAATATGCATATGTTTGATCGAATCATCACCTACATACATATTTTGGAATCTCAGCTTTTATCTCTACAACTGATTTCTCAGATACAGGTGTTCCAGCTTTATTTATCACCCTTCCATCTACCAAAACTTTCCCTGAAGTAAAAAAACCATGAAAAAAGCTAGACTTAATGCACAACAACCTATTTCAATGACGCATGAAAAAAGTGGAGCATCAGCACATTGAAACTATGAAAGGAAGAAAATAACTTGCTATTCCTAATGCACTGGCAAAATTGATTCAGCAATCATTACGCTATTTATTGACACTGTCAACAGAATTGATATTGATCATCATAATGTTCCAAACATGCATGCATACAACAGGGATGGCAAACAAGCAGTCCCCAAACATTTTCTGTTTTTAAAGAAATATGGTCTGCAGATTTGAGCAAGGCTGGTTTCAAACTTAATCCATATCTAGGACCAAAGTTCACAATTAAGAGCAGAAGAGGATTAGAGGAGTTTAGAAATTTAGTGAGGTGCATTCACGGTTTTGAAATAAGTAAAGGTACCAGTAGGCTTTGTTTTCGCAATAAAAGACTTCCCCTTGCTGTTTTGCACCCTTCCTGGACAGCAATAAGTGTCTTCCCACGATCATGACAGCAGCAAATTGCTGTTTTCCCCTTGTTCCAGCCCTCAGCTGAACTCTGGACAGTAGTTAGATGCCGCATCAGCAGGCAGTAGAGAAAACTGGGGGCATTGGGAGAGGCTGTTTGGGACCCGACCTGCAAGAAGCAACAGACAGAAGGATGGCCGATGGTTTGGGCTTCTGGAGGAAGTTGGCAGAAGGATAAGAGGGATAGAAGAGAAGATGGAAGATTTTGGAGAGAATTGAATGCTTTTCATTGATGGATTAAAGGTTTGATAATAGACAAGCTCAGCAGAAGACAAAATCTAATTCAATCCAAAACAAACTCCACAAAAAAAAAAAAAAAAAAAAAACTATCTAGAAATAACAAATGAGGTAACATCAAAATAAAAGCCAGCCACTCTTCTCACTCCTGCAGTTGAAGATGTCGTCATGCTCTGACCAGCATTATGAGTCTGATGTTAGCTTACCATCTATCAAGACTCAAGTAGATAGGAGGATTTCATATCCTATTTTTCAGTAGAGGTAGAAATAAGAAGAAAATACCTTCATTCTCCAATGTTCACAAGACTATAAAAAAGGCATCTTGGTTGAGAGCTTTTGATTATATCTTCACCTTTTAGATGGACAACTTAAACATTGTCATCATATTGAATTGAATTGTACTTTTATTTTTCACTTTAATCTAGCAATTCCTTGAAATTATCACATATGTACTCCTTTCTTTATCTAGTTGATATATTATATTTCATACAAAAATATCAAAACAAAAGAAAAATATAGCATATTTATCCTAATCGAGCATCCCAAGGTTGACTAGTCTAAATAAGAGCCTTATCCTAGCTGGCTAGCACTACTTGTATTGTTCTTACAATCTTTAATCAACAATTTGATGAACCGACTGAGCCTACGGCCCCACTAGGGTGGGCAGCAGGCAAGAAGAGAAAATGGGATTAATTCCACTTTTATTATTTATCATAGAAAACTAAAAATGGGAGGGAATTATGAAAGTTTATTTACTGATTTAAATTTATATTTGAGAGAATTATGAAAGATTTATTTAGGGAAAGAGGGTTGATTTGAATTCAGATTTTAGGGGGGGCGGGGGGGAGGAAAAGGTTTTTTAGGGAAATAGGGCTTATTTGAATTCAGAATTAGGAGAAGTTTATATTATGGATAATTGAGTTGTTTTATTTTCATTATGTAGATTGTGTTTTGATGTAGTTTTCTTTGGAGTAGTTCATAGCATCGCCTAAGATTTGTGGAGAGCCAGTCTATCTCTCAAATAGCAGATCGGATTGCTATCACTCTGTTCATGCTTAATGCAGAAAAAGATGCATATCATCCTTCATGATAGGAATGATAAGCATAAGCCAAAATTTTTGTGCAATACTTCTAAGTTTGTTTGCTTGGCCTATTATTATGTACTCCATAGTCCTTTGGCAAGTAATTTTTCCCATCATTAGTCATCTATCACTGTTACGGATGGTGAATGCACTAGCACACTACCAAAGATTACTTAGGAGACGTAAAACATAACCATCATGCATAGAATCTTTTTGATGTAATCATTGATGACTACAAACTTCAATTGACATCAACGATCAATATTCAACTTGAACCCCTTCTAAATCCATCCTAATGAATGAGCAAGGATGATTAAAAAAAAGAGTCGTGTAGAGGCCTAAACTTCCCAGGAGTGCAAGCCCTTGTAGCTAATTACTCCTCCCACTCATGAGAGAACACTCTCAATTAAGGATGGTTACTTTGATACATTTTAAATTTAAGCTTACTATTTTTAGATTTATTTAAATTAATGTGAGATGTTTGTGGGGGATGGAGATAGACTCGATCTAGATCCCATAGTTTCATCATCTCGAGAATACCAATGATCTCAATCTATCAATATTAAAGGGTCATAAGAACATCTAGGGAATCTGATTAACAGTCATAGATAGCTTCCTCTCAGAGATATCAAGTAAACTAATATGATTGTAAATAGATTTTGATTTATTATTGAGAGTTACTATAGCACCCAATAGAGAATGTACTTTAAAAAGTTCTTATAAAATAAATTTTTTTATTTTAATTTTTGTAGAAAACAAAAATAGATAACATAATAAACACAAACATAAGAAAAAATAAAAAGAGATAATATATACAATATTTTTACGTGGTTCGGCCAAACCCCAAAATTGGCCTACATTTTTTTCCCCAAGGTTGGCCTACATTGACTCCTAGCAAACCCTTGGCTAGGTTTTCATTAAATAATCTCATTATAATACAAAACATTTATATTCTCATACAATGGAGTATGATGTTAGATCGGTCCAGCTTGATGTTAGATCGGTCCAGCCGGTCCATACCAAATCGGCTTATAAACAACATAGGCGGAAGAGTTCGCCTCCTGCATGCAGATCAAACTGAACGGAACAAGAAGAGCATATTAGGAAGATTTTGGGAGAAATTTATGAAGAAAATTTGAATGTAGGGACTATTTAGAGATTTCCTATTGAATTGTATGCATTAAATAGTTGTTTTCCTAGAGTTAGGGCATCTTGAAATTGGCTTAAATTTGAGATCTCTTAGGTTTAGATTTTTGAGCTCTAGCGGCATCTAGGGATTGAGAGAGATAATCCTCTTGAATAGAGGATCAATTGTATTTTATTATTTTCATTCCGTTAGTTTGATTATTCCTATAAAAACTACTTTTTCTCCAAATTTTTTCCTTTGGATTGGTTGATTGTTCTCACTGTTTTGGTCAAGATCATTAGGTTTCCCTTAAGATCTCAAGTGTTTCCTAACAAATCGGTATCAGAGCAGTTTCCTGGGCTGAAACAGAAGTCTTTCTCGTTGATTTATGCCATGTTTTTCTCTCCGATCTTGTTATTTTTGCTGTTTGGGAGGCCAGATTTGCATCAAACTTGTTGATCTTTGCTATTGGAGCCTAAATCTAGAGATTCTCATGGCCGGAAGAAAGGTGGAAGTATTGGAAGCGGAGATCGGATAAATGAAATTTGAAATTTCAAATATCCAAACTCAAGTGTCATATATAAAAAAGGATGTTTCAACCATCCATGATAAGTTTGATTCGAAATTTTCCATCCTAGAGGAGATGCTGAAGAAAGTGCTCGAGAGCCAAACTAAAATATTATCGTCGGAGGTGAGAGAAGGTGCCAACAGCCAAGGAAGTGGGGAAAACCCTAAACCAATCAGACGAAGGGAAGATCAAGAGGTGGAGATTTTGGAGGGAACAAAAAAAATGCCTCACCTAGGGCCTACTCCTAGGGAGGAGTCAGGTAGAAGGTATGGGGAGAGGCGTAAGGGCGTTGGGCATGAGTGGAGGGGTAATGAATCTGAAAGAAGAGGAGTTGAATTTGAAAGGCAAGGACTCGATTATGATTGAAGAGGTGTCGAATTTGAAAGGAGATGGGTTGAATATAATCAAAGGGGTGCTGAATTTGAGGGAGAATATGAGATTGTGATAAAAGGTTTGGGTACGAGCATAAGAGAGATGATTGACACAATTGGGGAGAACCACCCCCTTGAGAATGGGAATTTATGGAGGGAACATAACGAATGGAGGCAATTCTAGGGTGAGGAAACTGAAGATGTCAATTTTTGAGGGGGATGATGCACATGGGTGGATCTAGAAGGTAGAAAGATATTTCTCCGTCAATGGGTAAATGGAGGAGTAGAGACTGATGGCAGCGGGCCTATGTTTGAAAGGTAAGGCTTTGGCTTGGTACTACTGGAGGGACATGCGACAACCCATACGGAGTAGAAAAAAGTTCAAGAATTGCTTGGTAGAACATTTCCAAACTGGCAAGGGAGGAGACTTCTACGAACAGTTCTTTGCCTTGACACTGGATGAATCAGTTATGGAGTACCAGGAGAGATTCGAGTATCTTGCTAGCCAATTGGACCGCCTTCCTGAGACAGTGCCAGAGGAAAATTTCATGAAGGGACTGACACCAGAGATTTGGGCAGCAATTAGCATAATGAGGCCTCATGATTTGGGAAAGGCTATGGAGCTAGCTCAATTTGTAGAGGATCAGAGGCACCTAGAAAGAGATGGGAGGCAGCAACTTAGGAGGCCCAAATAGGAGGACTACCATCTTTCTATCATCAAAGGAGTCGACACTGGGTACTCTTGGGGAGACTTCCGAAGGAAAAGACTGCAGGAGTAAGACTGGGGGACAACTTCAAGAAACTCACAGAAACATAATTACAAGACAAAAGAGCGAAGGGGCTCTGTTTAAGATGTAACGAGGCATACTCCGGGGCACAGGTATAAGGACCGACCTCTTCAAATTCTTACCGTTTGTGATGAAGAAGGAATGGAGGAGGGTGTCGTCTTCCCACCTTGTGGACAAAGTGGGTTTTTAGGAGGGAAGTATTGTTAGACGGTCCATACCAAACCGGCTTACGAACAACAAAGGTGGAAGAGTCCGCCTCCTGCATGCCGATCAAAATTAACGGAGTAAAAAGAGCATATTAAGAA